ATTAAAAGTCGAAGTGCTTCTTACTGAAAAGAGAGCATGCAGTAATTTGACGTCACCAGAAAAAATAAAGAGGACCAGCAGAGGAATTTACATAGGTAACTATGAAAGACAATATCATGCACGTTTTAACTTTTTCAATCAGAGAAAATAAAACAAGCTACTCAAACAACATGTGGAGAGTAGAAGACTTTATCTAAGAAACCAATGCTCCATACTTTTACTTTAGGGTTTTTTAAAAACTATATCAATATATGATATCACAGTTGGAGGAAAAATGTGATTCCTTACTAAGAACATGTAAGCAATGAAGGCTACTATTTGACATTACTTAGTAAAATCTAGCCACACATTGTACATTTACAGGTAAAATGTAAGAAAATTAAATACTTATGTACAGGCAAAGGAAAGGAGGGTTATTAAGAATTAACCATTAAATTGTGAGTATAGCATACTCATTATAATATGCGCTCTGGAGGTAGACTGAGTTCATTCCCATTTCTTCCCTTAATAATTCTCTAGAATATTGAGAAACTCATTGAGAAAGGAAAAAAAAATTAAAATAGTGATAGGGGATATTTGATATATGCCACTCACAGCTAGGCTTCATAATTCTCCCGTTGGAGAATGTTCACAGAAACCAAAGCACAAACAGGATGTTTCTGTGACAAACATAAAATGAGATAAGCAGAGATGTCACAATTTTGTCTAAGAACAGACAAAAGAAAGGCCACCTTGGCATCTACAAAATGTCAAACACCCCAGTAAGTGGCTACTACTTCTTTATCAATTACAAACTTATTTCCATTTTGTTTTGCTCTTCTGTATATAAAATTTACTGACATATATAACTTGCTGACAATCTTCAATCTGGAATAAATGTCCACTGTTTCCAAAAATCATCTAGCCAAATCCTAAATATGGTAGATGATTCCTTCAAATGCCCTCTCACTGAGACAGTCTGCAGTTCCCCAGGGGGTGTGTTCCACACTGCACTAGCACCCAACTCAATCAACTATAGATCTGTCCCTCATGGTCTTTAGATGAGGGACACTGATATCATTTAGTTTTTCTATATCTCACTTTCTTAAGGCTGTTTTGGATATTTCTTGTGATAAAATATCTATAGCAGTGACGAAGCTTTTAGAGTTTTTGATGATAATAAACAGCCAATTCCAGGATATATCTCATAGGTTCACCACCACTGATCTATAGCTTTTAGAACAACCCTCGGTCTGTAGTGTGCAATAAAGTGGAAGAATCAGGTTAGAAGTGGAGGGAGTGTATATCATAACAAGGTCCTAATTTTTCAAAATAGATGTAATAAAAAAAAACAAATTTCCGTGTCCCTGTCCCACATATGTGCAAAAAGTTTGAGAGTGGAGATCATTAGAGAATTTGTGATGAGGATTTCTTTAAAAAATTATAAGCTTTGCCATTTAGCCCTAAGAGACTGTGAAGAGAAATAATCTTTTAGCTATTTCAACTGGCATAGACCTTCAAACAAGACTTCCTGTAAAGTTTCATATACATTTCAGAGGTTAAAAGCCACAGTACAATATAACCTGACATTATTGTCTTTGACAAGTCTCAAGGTAAGCTGGCTGACAAACAGGCTACACAAACAGCTGCTGTGGAAATACCTGTGATCTTAAAGTTTTCCAGGGGAAAGTATGTGGGAGTGTTTTGAAGTGTATACTTGTGTATGTAGACCAGAGGCATGGATAGAGGACAGCTAGAATTGAGTCCCAGTGGAGTTACCCCAAAGATGGGGCAACATGACAATGAAGGAGCCCGAGCAGAGAAAAACTGCAGTTATACCAGATTCTTAGGAAGGAAAAGTTTTGACACAAAAAATTACAGACAAATGTCCCTTTCCAGTATTAAAGGATTTCTCAAAATCTTTGAAGATGTTCACTAGGGAAGGGAAGCTTGGAACAACTGTCAAATGCAGGAAGCAATCAAGTACTTCATAACTGAAATAGTCAGTTAAGATCACCCTCATCCCTTTTTGCCATCCCCTTCTCCAAACTTCCTACCTTGCCCGATAACAAAGAAACCTAAAACCATGGGAAGAATATTGGAGAACAGAGTTGAGAATCAAGGGTGTTTACCACGCTTTCCTGGTACCAACAGCTGGCCTCCAGCACTACGGTAATAGTAGGCTAAGGCGGCTTCTCTGCCCTTCAGCTCATGGTCTTGTGATTATGCTACGTTATGTAGCAGGAGTGCTCTGCAAGCACAGTTAAGGATTCTAATCAGCTGGCATAAGAATAGAGAGATTATCTGGGTATTTTAGATTTAACCACAGAAATTCTTTTTTTTTAAATTTATTTTAAAGGGAAAACAAAATAAAAAACAGCAAAGATAAAAACAACACAAAAACAATCCAGAATTTCAAAACAACCACATGAATTCTTAAAGCAAAGAGCTTTCTTCAGCTGGTAGAAAAGAGGAAGTCAGAGTCAAAATGCAAGGTAAATTCAGCAGAAGAGACATTTTCATTGCTGAGATTGAGAGGACCATAGTGGTGGAGCAGCTGGTCGTACCCTAGAGTGAACCTGAGCTGACAGCAGCAAGAAAGTAAGGTTCTCAATTCTTTAGGCTACTAGGAACTAAAAATTTCCAACTTGAATGAGTTTAGAAGTGAAATCCTCTCCAGTCTCCGTATTAGAATCCTGCCTGATAACACTTTGATTTAATGTGTGTGAACCTAAGAACATAACACAGTCAAATGCTCCGGACATCTGACCTACAAAATGGTAAGAAAATAAATGAGTGTTTATTAAGTTGCTTAAGTTATGAAATTTGTGATATAGCAGGTGAAAAATAATATGACATGTAGCAGGTCCATCACCCTTAAATGAAGTTGAGGTACATCTGCCCAGATTAGATTTAATAACATCTCAGTTGGCAACTAAAAATTACATAGCACATTATGTAGCTTAAAGAGAAAGATCCTAAAGTCATCACACTTAGTTTCCAAAAGACTGAGACTAACAACAACTATCAAAGTGTATGGAAAACAAGAAAATTCCATTGTGAATACTTTCTGTAAGTTGTCCAGAGTACTAATTACTTGGATATCCAATAAGTTCTTGTGGCATTCACAAACTCGGACTGATGTTAGTCTTAAAATATTTCTATGCTAGAAAAACAAAATTATTGATCTTAAATCTTTTAATCTAAATATATGAAAGCAGTAAGATTATTTTCAAAATAAAGCAAAAAACAGCCCTACTGACAAGTGGATCCTACTGTTGAAAACAATATACCAATGCAAATGTAAGACTTTTGAATAGGTGAATATAAAATTTATCTACTATTTCTGTTTAGTATTTAAAAGAGTATTATATTTTATTTTTTACCTTGGAAATGCATTTTTTTACATCAAAAATCTTACCACAAAAGAAAAATGACACAAAAAACCAAAAGGCAAAACACATATCCTACAGCCAACTGATCAAAAGTTAAAACTGTTTTGATTAACATTGTTAACAAGAAGAAACCTGTATAAAACTTGTCTCATCAATAGGAACAATTGTTGAGGTGTTGAGAAGGAGGCATTTAAAAAGAATATATTCATTGCCCCTGAAATGGCAGATCTCTCTATGGTAAAAAAACACAGATATATGTATTATATATATATGTACATACATATATACTTTTGATCAAGTGAATCGTTCTGATAAAGGTCTTGAGACATTCCTACTATTTAAATACAAAAACTTTCAGATATTGTAGCTTGTAGCAATGTCAGCTTGGGATTGGGATTGTTCTTTTGGAAAAGACAAGCTAAATTTATTAAATAAACCCTATTTTTAATTGGGCATAGTTGAATGAGATATAATAAATAATAACAGTAAATTCATTTTTATATAAAAAGAAATGTTTTTCATTACAAAAGCAATATGCTTTCTTTACTAGTGACATAATTACCTCCAATTGCTTCTGAACCTCAGCAGAACACTGGATAATATGATGCGTAAAATGTTGACTTATGTAAAAGAGTCTAAACCAACTAACATAATAATTAGTATTGAAAAAGAAAGACATGGCCTATATCCAGTGAGAACATTATAATTTTAATTAGTTGTTCAGGATTATTTTTGAGGGATATTTGCTTTGGAAGGAAGTGTATTTAAATGTCAGAGAAGGAAAAAATTAAAAATATTTTAAATTTATTACTTTTAAAAGTTGATATATGAATTTAAATTATTCTTCCCATTTTGAGCCAGAGTTAAGCAAGTATGGGATGTGCATTTTCCACAAGATGTAAAAGTGTTTGAAATTCAGAAGAAGAGCAAATCATACATAGATAACATGACCACCTTTTTAAACCTCTCACTCATCATAATTTCCACAATTTTTCCTCTTCCACCTTTATCCCATGCTTAACATTCTTCAGTTATATTATACATAGAAAACTTTAAATATTTTACTACTTAACTACTACTCATTTTCCCTCATACTACATTGCATATTTTATTTTAGTATTTTTACTATTTCCAGGATCAAACATCAGTGGCTATATACTTATTCTTTTGTTGCTAGTAGAGCTCTAAAATTTTTGAAAAAGCCTTAAATACTGAAATCTATGGATTTTTATATACACTTGAGTTTCACTGTACCTTGAGTATAGTACATTGAGTATAGTACAAATATAGTACATTTGACCTAAGCCAAAAGAAAAAGGCAATAACCTTAAACATGAAAACTCAAAGATGTCCAACACCAGAAGAGGTTGCTGTTTTTAATGGTAAATTGGAGAAATTTTAGTAATTGCAAGTCAAAATCTTTTTAAATACTTCTAATATATACCAAAAATAGCATAATTCAATGAGAATGTTATATGAAGTGGAAACATATATTTTTCTATATGCTATTTCTGTAAGTAACATACACTCACCTGAGTGTGTCAAGTTGTCATAAAACACTTGCATTCTTTTTAAATCTCACCCAATAAAATGATGTAAGAGTTAAACAATAGTTTATGTATTTACCAAATAAATCTTTGTCTTCAATTATTGCCATTTCAACATCGTTACCAGCAATGATTGTACATGAGAAGGGAACTTGAAGAAGAACACTAATCTCACCAAAAGACTCCTTCTCCTTAAGTTTACCCATGTAAACAAGTTTTCGAGTCTTTTTCTGCAAAAGATACACATAATTGATGAATAATGGAAGTTCCTGTACAAACTGAATAAGTATTGTTACAGTAATACATTCAATTATTCATAAATCACTAAAGTAAATTCAAAATTTCACTCAACTCACAGAGGCCATTTACGTGCATATGTGTTTGTCTTGGAACAACAATAAACTCAGGGAAACCTCCGCATATTTAAGGTAACAACATTAGGACCCTCCAGAAAATTGCCTAACGGAGTTTCGCTATGGCTTTCTCTAGGGGAAAAAATTGAGTTCCAGATTTTCATTTTTAGAAAATCCAATCAGTACTGAAATGAGGATAATTCTGGTGAGCAGTAAGACATTAAAAAAAAGAATGCGGTCTTCGAGATAGGAATGTGATAGGAACTTGGAGAGGCAGAATCCACCAAATATCATGGAATCAAAGCCATTTCTGTAAATGGCAAACCTTTACACTGTACAGCAGTAGTACAGAAGAATTTAAGTCAGTTTGCATGTTTATTTGAATTCCACTGAAAACTGTCCAGTAAAGATTAATTTTAATTTTTCTATCACTGTACAGCAGGTTTTGTTTGACTGAAAAAATAGGATCATATAAAATATACTCTTGAACTGACATTTTACCCAGCTTAATAAGGTTGAGCATATCCATATTCTTGCATGTATCATTAGTTCTTTTACTGCTGTGTGGGATTCCAGTGTGTAAATAGATGACAATGTCTCAGTCTGTTCAATATTTAAAGGCCAGGGATATAGCTCAGTGGCACAGCACCTGCCTGACAAGCACAAGGTCCTGAGTTCGATTTTGGGTACCAAATAATAAAATTCAAGAGACATTTGGATTACTTCCAGTTTTGGGTTTATAAGGATTTATGTAAGTCTTTCTCTGGATATGTATTTTATTTTTTATTGTTGGTGTACGTTTGCACTAATTATAATTGCATTCATTGTGAATAGTGGGTACATGTGCATAACTCATCTTCACAATTTTTTTAATCCTCTTCCCCCTGCCCTCCTTCCACCTTTGGGTCCTTTTCCCTTTTGCAAAATATCTGTCTCCCTGTTTGCTCTTATCTTTGATTTTTCTCTAAAATGCGTTTATAGATTTCTCATGTAAGAGAAGTCATGTAATAACATTTTCATTTTTTGAGTAAATATCTACAGTGGAATTTCTGGGTGATATGTTAAAGCATATCTTAGCCAATCTGTTATGCTTACACTCCTACTGAGTTATGATTTTAAATTTTCCTTCTCTATAAATATGAATATTAAGCATCAATTAACCTACTTATTGGTTATTTGTGTATTTTATAACAATATATCTCAAAACTTACATTCCTGTATCTTATAACTCAATATAAAGAAAAAGAAACCTAAGCAAAAAATGGTGAAAAAATGCACTGAACTTTCACAAAAAAACCCAAAACTATTGCTCAATATGTATCAGAAAAGATATTTAGGATTTCTTATTTATTAGTGGATGATTATTAAGAAAAGACACAAATTTAAAACTTACCACTTTATTTGATGGTAGTTTCACAAGTCCTATAATAGTTCTATAAATTTTACAGTATCCATAATTAATATAAGCCACAAAGGAAATGATATTTCCACTTTCCACTATCACTAAAATAAAAAGAGAGAAAGATCATCATTTCACAATTTTTCTCTTTCAGAAATTGTTTTAGGTATTTTGACAGTAAATGTTAGCATACTTCCATAATGATTCTTACTAAATTTCTTAATACATGCTAGCTTGTAGACAATACTTACTTGGTATAAAATTTTAAAAAATTAATTCCAGTATTGATGTTTGTAACTTGAAACATAAATAAACATTCACAAGATTTATGCTAGTAACTGGGAGGGGAGAAGAAAGAGAATATGAGAGAAGTCTTCACTGGTAGTATTATAACTGATTTGTGTGGTACGAATACTTCTACCACAGCTTATTGCAAATGGCCCACAGTTTAACAACTGGCTCCCTGAATATCTAACAAATAGCTCTCTAGCATCTGTTCCTTGAACCAATACCTGCACCCTACCGAATACAGTAATGGTTACAAGCAAATATTTTGAAAGCATGATGACCTGATTTGAAGCCTACTGGGCCATTTTCTATGTAATCATTGATAAACTGCATAACGCTTCTGAGCTTTATTTTCACCTTTAAAATAAAATATTGGGAGTATCTTTTCTATAACCGATATGTGCAAACTAAATGCATATAAAGTACTTTTTATGGTGTCTGACACATAATATTATATGATGAATCATGTTATTAGTAGCATTATTATTTCAAACCTCTAAGCCCACTTTATTATAAAAATACACTCAAAGTTGAACTGTATTATAATTTCATAACTATCAGTATATCAAGCAAAGTGAAAATCATTAATCTACATAGCACCTCAAATCATCAACAAAATTAAACTGAGATACTTAAATCAATTGGACACATTCAAGTTAAAATTAGTATTACAAAGTAATTTCTAGCTTTGTTTATGCTGAATATATCAATTTTGCAGAAACCACAAACACATCAGTGATAACCTATATATATAGGCATAAATGTATACTGGTAAAACAGCCTAAATTTAATAACAGATAACAAAAATATCAGCACACTTTAAAAAGTAGGAAAATGTGCATATTTATGTTACACTTTTGGCCAATAAAAGGTATTTTTAGGGCAAATCCCCTAAACTTTGGGGCCAAATGTTTATTTCCCTTTTAAATGACAATTATTGTCCTATCGAAGTTATTTTTGATTCAGATAAGGCCCACCAGAGAAACATAGAAGGAAACAGCCAAAAATCTTGCAGTAACTCTGAGTGACTCTTTGTATGTAATCTAGCATAAATCTTGTTTATTATCATAAATTCTTTGCCCAGGCAGACATTCTCACTGAACTACATTTTATTTTGTCTTTAATTTTGAGAAAGGATGTCACAAAGTTGCCCAGGCTAGACTCCAAGTTACCATCCTCCAGCCTCAGCCCAGACTGCTGGCATGACAGGCTTGAGCCACCCTCCTCGCTCCACACAATACTTTTGAACATGCAGAGCACAACTTTGAAACAAGCATAACCAGGAATGTGCTGACCTCTACATGTGATGAGGAGTCTTGTCTATATAAATACATATGAGTTTCATCAGTAAGAGCCCCTTGCTTTATTTGTCCAGATAATGCTTTGAGAATTAGAACCAGTGCACTCTTTGCAATAATAAACCTTTCTTTATTCTTTCACCTCTTAGTAGAGATTATCAGCTTTGCACATAAAAAACACCTCTTCCCAGTTACCAAATCGCACCAATTACCTGCAAACTCCTCCCCCATTGTTATTTCTCATTTTACCCATTCAGCCTCTGATCAAGCTTTACATTTCTAAGAACTTATACCAGCGATGTCATCAAGGTGTCATCTGCATACCCTTTCCTCCTAAGTTGCAAAAAAATAAAAACCCACATAGATCTATGGATTAAAGCACAATTTTATATAAAAAGACTTAATCAAAAATTACAAAGATGAAATTCTATTGCAAGGTCATTCTCATTTATGTAAATGAAATACATTTGAAGTTTTAAATTTGGCTTTGAGCCTTTAATGAGAAAACAACAAAGATGCACTGTGGAGCTCAAGAACACTGTGTTTGGTGTCTTTGGGTCAAAGTTTGGAGCTAAATGTAACAGAATGACAGAACAGCCATCCACAAATATGCACAGGATGACAAAAATCAAGCTGGTATCTGCCAGAGGTCTCTGTTTCCTCATCATTAAGCCGCGTGTTGGGGATCACATGGCTCATGGGGAGCAGATGTCCAGGTGGCCTCCTGCACTTCCACCTCCAGCAGCACAGGGTGCATCTTCAGAAAGTGGTGGCATGCTTATGTCCCTCAGTCAGCTCTGAGGGCACCTTCAGGTGTAGGCTGACTACCGAAACTCTGCCCACTCCACTTGGGCGATCTTCTGTGCCATGAAGTCCGGGCTGAACTCCACAGGGTTGACCAGCACCTCGGTGGGAAGCCAAGAAGTTTCACCCCATAAACAAGAGCTTAGAGGATTGTGGAAGACCAGTTTCATGTCACCATACATCATCTCACCAAGTAAACTGAACATGTATTTGACATTAAATTTTAAAGCGATTCATCAAAACTCAGACTCATACACTAAAACTTGTAAGTCATGGGCCATTATGCAAAGAATAAATGAAAAGGAAAAGAAAATCAGGAGAATTCACAGAAACTGTACATCATGCTTTTTTTTTTCACAATTTATCATATATCAGGAAATAGTCACAAGTCTTAAAATCTTTCTATTTTCAATTTTCAGGTTAGTTAGAGAAAGTCAGAAGAGAATTTCCTTCTGGCTAAAAACATTGGCACAGAGACAGTTGAAGTTCCAGGTTAATGAAAACTAGTGATTAGGAAGATTGTGAAGGAAAACATCCTCTTAATTAAAAAGAACTCCAGCCCATTAGTGTAATACACCCAAACACAGTTTTGGAGGAGAAGCTTATCAGAGCATGAGCAATGCCAAGGCAGCTTCCATTGGGACACACATTAGCTGAATGGATACTGGTGTTCAGAAAGTTAGACTAGAAGAAAAAGAATAGCACTATTACTTGGTGAACTTACCTTTGAAGTTGGGGAACTTTTCAAAAATGTTTTCCTTATAAATCTATTTAGTGTTCTTAAACTTTTGTTAAGAAAAAACTTGATTAAAAAGGCATTTACTAAATGACTCCATACTATTATTTTCATTTACTAAATACCTCCATACTATTATTAATATAGAATGGATACTGGTAGTTTAATCAACATTATAAACTACCTCTAATTTTTAAAAATGTATACATATATGATAATAAATACTTTTTTAGAGCTGAGTATGTGGTCAGATGTCATTTATAATTAAGAAGCTTAATAGAGACAAATTCTGAAATAGAAGTGCATATGATTATAATCAAGCAACAATGATCAAACTTTTAATTTTGCAATGACACTATCTGAACTGTCTTATCACAATAAGTCATTCTTCTAAAGAATGAACACAATATGCAAAATATCCTAAAGTTTATCAGTTTTGAATATTCCTGAGGGACTCCCAATTCAGGAATTTGCTAAAATAATACATTCATAGAATTATTTCATGGAAATTATCAGAATATGATTGGCTATTCTCTGTGAAACAGGGCAGATAAAGAGAGGCTGGATTTAAAGCCTGACACCTCACACTATTGTGCCTATATTTGCTTCATGTTCCCCTTGCTGACATCCAGGATAGGACAAATACTGTTGCTATGAAGCCAATCACAGATCGAGGCAGAGAGGCTTATCCTGATTGGATGTCTAGCTTGATAACCAGCAATGCCATAGCTTTTCCCCATCTCCCTCACTTCCACAGTGTACTCTACCGTGACTACCCCTCCATGTTCTACAGTTTATACCCGCTGGCAAATTCCTTACCCAATTCTGCCTTTTTTTGTGTTTTTTAAGCATTTAACTACTTTTTAATTTATTTATTGTGTTTATTATGTTCTACATCTTCTGACAGCATGCAAACTCTATCAAAATGTTCTTTCCTTTTGTCTTATGTTCACTTTTATATCAAAATATTAGCCATTCAACAAATATTTATTGAAAGAAGGCCAGCTTTCAATTTAAAGAAGTTGCACGAACACAAGAGAAAGTTTTTTCTAGATTTTTCTCAAGCCCTTCCCTGGGTAGGCCAACTAAAAATTCTGATAAAAATATTACTGCACAGGAACCTAAATAACCTCCATTAATATAAAGATTATATGCCATAACATGAGCTAAGATTAGTAATAAATAGGACAGGGGGACTGGAGGAGGAGGGACAGAGGAAGAGGAAACAGGGAGAGGATTAGGAAAAAGAAACAAGCTGTGGTATGTACTGTAACCACTCCCCAAGAAGACTGTGACTGCATGAACTGCAAACATGTACTAATAAATACAAATTTAAAACTTTTTAAAAAATATACAAGGTGCTATAAAAGTAAAAACTTTCTCCAAACCAAGAACCAAAATAAAGCACACAGCCATGAGGCCTGAGCTCCTGGCAAAGTGTACAGTAAAGATCAAATTCTACTACAGAACACTCTGTCTCCCTCTGCCCAGGGCAATATTCCCTTTGTGTGACTTGTAAAAGGCACCTCACAGAGTCCTGGAGACACTTTCCTCTCCAGTCGTTGTACTGAATGGAAAGGAAAAAGGAGAGAAAACCATGAATATTCTTAAACATAAGCTCCTGCTATGGGAGTTAGAATCCACATCACTCATAATGCAACTCTTTTAATTAAATATTTATTTTCAAATTATACAGGGTTTTAGTGACTCTAAAAGTTTAGTAAAAAGGAAAACAAAGTCCTTATGAATAAAAGAACTTTCATTACTAGGTTCAAATAATTTCAGCGGATAGGAAAATATGATTTTAGGAAGTATGAACTCACCATAAAATGTATACTACCAAATATGTTTGTTAAGCAGCATGATTAATAAGTCATCAGACGTAAACACATACACACAATATATGTAAACATGCTACTATATATTTGCATGTGTGCATATATATGTAATAAAGCAGGTATCAGAATTATGAAATATA